AGCTGCTCGATGTTGGAGGTCATCCAGATCGAGAGTACTGGTCTCCATCCATGGGTGACTCCATACTAGAAGTTTCGCAGCTGTTTGGAGGTGACATGAATTCCGAAGGTCTTCTCCAGTCAGGCGACTGGAGATGACTTCATATTTTGGTGTACATGAAGGTGATGGGCGAGAGCCAGCTCCTGCTTATCGAGGAACATCTTGGGTATCTTCCGCCCTGGTACTCGTATCCACGTCCTCTGTCTGGGCTGCGAAAACTTTGCTGATATGTGACTCGGTCGAAGTGTCTTTTTTGCCCCCCCCTGTATACTTTCCTAGTCGCTGGAGTACGCTCAAAACGCTGCCGTGCTGATGCAAAGTATGAACGCAGCCCGACATTCGACAAACCTGCTAACCACAGCATGTCATTAGAGGATCTAAGAGGGTCCATAGATGCTGCATATGAGTCTAACGCCAGTTTTGGAAGTCCTGTTAGCATTGCGTAATCAGCGTTTTGCTTACGCGATCGTCCCAAGCATTTTCGCCTGAAAAACCTGTTCTTCGTTCAAAGTATTAGTAGGTTAGCAGAGTTGGTTAAGAAGAGCATAGGGCAGTAGCAAACAAAATGAGACCCTTCTCTGAGAAAATAATCAGTTCGGAGGTAAATAGAGAGAAGCAGAAAAAACCCCTATAGCGCACAAGCAGATGTTCACTGAGAAAGCGTAAATATCGCATTTCACCACATTCTCATGAATATTTACTTATGGAAATACTAACCGAGGATACAATGGTCAATCTCAATGGATGCAGCGCAGAGTCACAAGCAGTTATATTTATTAGAGTGTAAGGATAAACATACTTGTACGTCTTCGACGCTTTGTTCTCTAAGCCGACTCTGAACTTTTCTTCCTCTGGTAAAATCGGACACGGTGGACATTCCTAGAAACAAAACAAATCTTGCAATCACAGTAAGGTGATAAGGAATGCGAGCCATTTTCATGGACATTTCGGCTTAGGCAGCGTTCATACTACGCGATGACGCGCGACGATGCGCTGTGGCCAGCTACAATTCAGTTCGCTTCAATCCTGTAGACGGATGATTAATGCAGCCGCAGAAGGGAACTGATCGGCGCCGGCCGTTTGCGTTGTGAGAGCCTAGGACAACAGGAGGACAGCGCCCACATTCACATAGTCTGATATTCTCCCATTCTTTCACACTCTCACCAAGCAGCCAGCGATGATCAATACGAAACTTCGTAATGAGGCAACGCGTGCCGTCCTCTTTCCCATACTCTCTCAACGCACGAGACACCGGCGCCGACCAATTTCCCTCGGCTGCAGTCGCGTCTGAAGGACTAGGGCGCTGCTGCAATTGCAGCGCGTTACAGCGCACCGACGCGCGTCGTGCGAGGACTGAACGCAACCTTACGTGGCGTATGCGAGACCCCCTCTAATAATCCCCATTAAGATACTCAAAGTTCCGTATTTTGCTACCTCCTCTACCACCTTCTCAGTCCCTCCCTACCACTCTCTTCAGTCCCTCCAAACGTAAGTGCTTGCAACGATTTCCGAAAAAGGTAAAGTTTTTCTAAACGTAAACAAAAACAACTGACCAGCTTTTCGAAACGACTGATCAAGGCGTTTACTTTCCAAAACGAAATAAATAGCACGCATGAACTCTCGAATACCCGTCTCTAGTTCATCTGATTCCTCTATTCTATTGAAGAGAAATTCTTCGATCGCTGAAAAAATGAGGCCGCCAAATCTTGCTGCAATACGAAAGACGTTCAAGCTACTCAAAGATGTTCAACTTCAGGGTTAAAGCACATACTACGACAACCATGGAGCATTGATAACGCTCGGAGGTATGAAATTAGTAGCGACAAAAATTTGGCATTGAGGTAAAAACTTTCCAAAAAAAAATCCAAAGATTTTATGATGCAACATTTGCGTAGACATACAAGCTAGCCGCTGCGCGCTATTACCAGTCAAGATGCGTTCATACTTTGCGTCAGCACCAGCTACTAGGAGCCAGGAATATCGACTACGTCTGCAATTATGCCAGGCGACTGGAAAAGGTACGTATTCGATCTTAGGGTATGCAGTGTAGAGCACGCTTTACGTGGGAGTTCTTCCAAAATCAAATTGCTGTGCGAAAACGCTGGCACACGCACGTCGTGACGCTTGAAAACGCTACATTATAGCATATACTCTCATAGCAAAGTATGATACACGTTCCAGGCGTATGCAGCGACTAGGAAAGTATGGATATCGATCTCGCTAACGCCAGCGTATGCCAGTTTACAGAGCGTTTTCGTGGGCAGTTTTTCTCAAGCTCAATTGGCCCCGAAAACGCTTGGCTAGGTCGATGTCTACACTTTACTAGTCGCTGGCGTTGGCATACGCCTCAAGAACGCTGGCGTAAAACCGGACGAAGGTCTGATGCCAGCCTCATCGCGCGATCAATGTGCGCATAACGATAACAGCGGTTCTGAAGTACAGATGCGTTCGTTGCGGATGATGGGTGCCATGGGTTTGGTGCAGCGCCAGACCTTGTTGAAGTGAGAAAGCAACAAGACTGTATCATATCGTTCCACCAGTTGTCGCTTTACCCGCTTCAGCACTGGGTGGAAAATAGATCCTGCCGAACCATCCCGTCACCCACGCCCCTTCACCAACAGCGAACACGACTGCAAAATTTTCCAAAATCAAGAAACAAGGAGCAATAAATGAAATCATACCTCATCATATCCTAGCAAGATACAACGACTATCAACGAGTGTGGCTGCGTAATCGTTCTGAAATTGAAAACAGGAAGTGTTCAGTTTCTCAGGAATCCTAACGTTCAACTAGTTTAAACATCAGATATACTGGGGAAAATAAAAGATGACATATAACGACACTAACTTTCACTTTCTCGTAGTTACTCTTAAGTTCTTCCAAAGTTGAGCCGGAGCTTAGTGATGAGCGTCGACGCTCAACAATATGGGCGCTTCGACGTAGGGCGCCATCATCAAGTGACGAAGATACCTAACAACTAATCTTTCATAGGGAAATAAGAAGGGAAATTCACTGAAAATGATATACTACCGTTCTCCTAACCGCACCAGCAGATGTCGGCGACTGAGCACATGCCACACCAATAAGTCCCAATATTCTACGGTGGGCCTGTATGTGAGATGAACATGGCAGAGGAGAAAGCGCCCAATATGAAGAAAAAAAACGAACCTGGAGCTCCCCAAATCTAACGAGTTCTGCGTTCACAGTTGTGACAAAGTTAGCATGGAATGTGCGTTTCGGGTTGTCGCTAACTAGAAGTATGCATTGAGCTATTTCGACTTAGATGGCATAAAATGAACAGTCCAATAATAGTTGTGACTAGCTCGAAGGTGATTTCGGGGCTGATAAGTAGCGCACCTACTTCGCATAGTACAACGGGCAAAGGATAAACGCCAAACAATCGACAATTCCATAGCGCCTGACCGATTCTGTGCCCCTATAAGAATTACTTGTAAAGTCAACCGCGATCATATTGTGGACAGCGGCGTTTAAATAAACCTACAGACGGTAAATGACTTTGCAGGAAAGAAAAAATGCTACAATGTAAAGAACACCCTGATCTGGCAGTCTTCCTGAACGTTCTGCGGACCTATTTGGCTTATGCCAGCAAAGGGACATCTTCCTGTTTCTGAGTCACTGATCGTTTCTTCATGTCATCATCAGCGAAATATGATGAAACAGAAACGAAAAACATTTAAAAACTGAACTCCCCGCGGACGACTGTGCAGAAAACAGAGTTTCATGTTTCGATGGTGGGACAACCAGGGAGGCGTCAGAACTGCCACTTGCCCATTTATGAGCGCTACAGCGCCTTCGTTAGTTTCTGTGAAGTTGGAAAAATACAGATGACCAAACACTTACACAAGGGAGGACGTTTACGAATTGGTTGAGCGCGGGGACTGTCTTTAATCAAGGAAGACTTATGTGAAAATCTCTAGGAGGCATTGGTAGTGGATCCGAGAAGGAATAGGACTACCCCATTGAATAGCTGCCCCACCAAATCGGAAAATCTAAGAAAACTCAAAAGAGGGAGGACGAAACCTGAAAAGGTTAGCCGACAATCAAGAACTAAGTTTGAACTGCACATGAATGAAATCGGACTGTCTGGGTCGCCAATGTGAGACCTGACACTGAAATCAAACATCCAAGTTCGGGACAGGGAACACAACCGAGAGGCGTTCAGGGCACTTGTCAACGCGACGCTTCTGATCTCTCCCCCATTTTCTTATCACTTCTTGTTCCTCCTTCTCCGTTCCCTCCTCCTTTACACACTTTGCACTTCAACTAACTGGGAGGCCTCGAGAAAATACCCCTGGGTCCTCGCAGCGAGAAACAGTCTGGTTGACAAGTGCCTGCAACCGCGAACGGGGGGGGCGCTTGGCAACTCCCCCATCATCGTATTCGAGCGATCAAAGCGGAGACCGTAAAGACCTTCGTGAAGCTGCGAAATGATACCAGCCAAAGTTTGTATAGACCACCAGTCAATTCTTGTAAAAGAATTCGGTACCATAGAGATACTATTTACCGCGGTGGCTCGACGAGCTTGCTCCAGCTCATAAGAAGATTACAGCTTTCACCAATGCGAGACTCATAAAGTGGAATAGTCAAGCACCGAAAGCGCAAAACGCTCCTTCCCGTCGCGGGACGAACGTTAGTTTTCGTTTCCCGAGCGTAAGGGATAGGTCTATCCCATGATCGGCTTTCTTTTGATCTCGGCATGAAAGACATATAGTAGTTTGGAACGACAGTACTGATGTGCGGCTCTGGCATTAAGGGTGCGAGGCTGCGATATGACATGACAGGTCAGTTTCTTATGGCGAGCAAAGGTCAATTCTTATTCCGCTGTTCCCTCTCGCCACTAGCTCCTGTAAACGAAAAATTCGGTTTTAGAGCAGGAGATTACTGAAGACTGGCGCAGCAATATTTCGTCAACAATGAAAAAAGTGGCCTTAGTTGTACATTTCAGCGAGAAGTAAACAGGCTTCACCACAGCTCTATACAACACGAAAGAAGGGGAAATCATTTAGGAAGGATGTACTAATAAAAACTACTCGAACAACCTACCTTGTATTGAGCGCTGACGTGCCAAACGATCGACGATCCGATTGAAAACAGTGGGATTTCGAGGTCCGACCTGACGAATTAGGATCGTCACTCGTTGATGGTCCTCAATACACGGAACGCCATCCATCCGAGCTCGTATTTGATCCAGTCAGGCTACATTGAATGAGCCATCCGTAGAAATAAACACAAAATAAATAAACTGCTCAATCCATCGGAAATCATATAACGGCAAAGGACTTTGGCCGTGGGGCGCGTATTTTCCGCAGAGCGCACCACGCCATCCTCAATTACGGTACGTCCAGGATCGAAGGGTTAGAATATCCACGGAGGGGTTGAAATAGGCATGGGTTCCTTCGGTGTAAATCTACGCTTGGTCCAAGAGGGTGACTAGTACTCTTCTATTCACCTGATTTGTACGTACTAATTCTTTTTTTCATCTTCTCTCCCATTCTCCATGATCGCACATGGTGAACAATGTCTGAGCAAAACGGAAATAAGCACGTGCTGAAGGTCACCTCGCGACCTCTCCTGAAGCCTTCGGCCCGAAGGCGCGAATCAAACATTCAATAGCTGTTAATTTGTGAAGACGCAGCAATGACTAGGCAGCTACGGGAGACGTGCAAGAGATCGTAAATCGCCGCTTCGTCGCGCGCGGCAATGGGCGCGACGTTTCCTTAATTTGCACTACCCTTTCGATTGGAGCATCGGATTTCATGTAGACAAGGACATGGTGACACTTATGTCTATTTTAGTCTATTCTCTACCAATATCACCTGAAACCGTCGTCATTAGCGGGCGCGACATCGCACGCGACGCCCACAAATCACGATTTTCGCCGCATATACCCAAGCAGCGATGAGAATTAATAGTTCCCTTGACCTTCTCATTAGATGTCCCAAGAATGTTATGTATACAGGGGGGGGCAAAAAAGTCACTTCGACCGAGTCACATATCAGCAAAGTTTTTGCAGCCCAGACAGAGGACGTGGATACGAGTACCAGGGCGGAAGACCCAAGATGTTCCTCGATAAGCAGGAGCTGGCTCTCGCCCATCACCTTCATGTACACCAAAATATGAAGTCATCTCCAGTCGCAGCCTGACTGGAGAAGACCTTTGGAATTCATGTCACCTCCAAACAGCTGCGAAACTTCTAGTATGGAGTCACCATGGATAGCTACCTGGAGACTAGTACTCTCGGTCTGGGAGACCTCCAACATCGAGCAGCTCCGACAACGTCGCCACGGTCTAGACACCATCTTCGCCAAGGCGGGGGTAATGGTATGGACCTGAGTACCTGGAATGGAAAGAAACGATATTTTCTTCGTGAACCCCGCTGAAGATGAGCGCTGGCGGTTACATCAAGCAACTCAAGGAGAATATCCTCCCTACATGTCGTCACCCGTACCTTCTTGGAAACTTTGTACTGCTACAGGCTTGCAACACCACGTGGATTCGAAGGGCATAGGAAAAACACTCGCCCACTTGGAATGGGAAGGACTGAGTACCTAAAGAAGAATTTAATATGCTCTTCAATATGGTTGTGAAAATGCCCGATCGGAGTTTGATTAAGTGTGTCTTATAGCCCCTCGAAAGTCCAAGGAAGAAAAGTTGACTTTTTTCCGCCCCCCTATAGATGAGGTACAGGGATGCGGCTGGGGTGTTAAATCATGGCATGTTGAACGTAAGTGTAAACGTATCGTGGACAGGCGACCGATCAAAAATATTAAGTTGTACCCATAATTGTCCAAACTCGGGTTGTCACTGAATACGTGTGATATGTTGGAGAGTAGTGCACAGTCTCCATTCAGCAACAACACTGGTACATTCCTTATCTCGCAAAAGGCGGACGGGAATTTTGAACTATCGGCTACAGAAACGGCGTCTTCTTCAGCGCCTCTCTCAGAGAACGTGTCAAACCGTCAACTGAATGGGAAGACATGGGAGTGAAGATCGACGGTCGGCAACACCATCCATCTCGCTTTGCTGACGACATCGTTTTGATAACACCAAACATCGAGCAGCTGGCTGAATTCGACTGCGCGTGTGGAAAAATCGGTCTACGGCTGAATCTAACGAAGACGATGTTCATGAGAAACGGATTGGTTTCTGATGCCCCATTCACGCTCAACGGAACGACCATCTCTGAATGCTCTAGCTATGTGTACCTAGGTCGTGAAATCAATATGATGAATGACCTAGCTCCAGCTGAGCAGGAGGAAGCGAGCGGGCGGGAGCTGCTAAGAAATCGAGGGAGTAGCGAAGAAGACGAAGAACACCAAGCTCCGTGCCCACCTCTTCGATTCCGCGGTCCTTCCTGCCTTGACGTACGCCTCAGAGACTTGGACTCTACGAAAGCAGGATGAGCATGCGGTCGGCGTTATTCAACGCGCCATCGAAAGGGCGATGCTCGGAGTTTCCCGCTACACGCAAGTGAGAGAGGGAATCCGGAGCTCCGCACTCCGCCGACGATTGAAGACGCAGGTCTGCGCTTTTTGCCAAGGTTTTCGAAGATCAGGTGGGCCGGGCACGTCATGCGTTTCGAGGACGACCGCTGGACCAGAGCGATCACCGACTGGATTCCACGGGATGTCAAGCGAACGCCTGGACGACCGCCTATGCGATGGTCAGACTTCTTCGTGAAAGCTCTGAACGAATGGTATGAAGTTCATCGTGTCCCTCGAGAGGAGAGAGAGAGTCCATTGGGCAACACTTGCACGTTGCAGGGACGAATGGAGACGTTACTGGCGCCCGCTCGAGGAACTCAGATGGATCAAACGGGAGCAATCATTATTTATACTTATAGTAAACAGAAGACAAACTTTCTCTCGTTGAACAGAATAAGTTGAGGTGATACAGAACGGGTTGAGGTGAGTACAGGGTGGCGCGTGGGATATTTCAATTTGAGACAACGGTCGTCTTGATCAGTGTTGGAGAGAGACATGACCACAATCATGTCAAGCAAATATCTTTCCAAAAGCACAGAGATCGTCACATTCAGTTAAGGTTACGCAGCCACGCCTACCACATGTCAGGGATTCAGAGTGTAACAACACTATACGCGGTTTACGATAGTATTTTACAGGCCACTTCGAGACGGACGGTCAAAAAAGAGTGCTATGTAAAGGTGAGGCACTAGTAATCGGGCTGTAAGGCATAGTCGAAGTGCCTCGTGGGAGGCGGTATGAGCTGAGGAAGTCAACCTCATCCTAGGTGCGTAGTCACCGTGGATAAAGGTCCCCGCCTACATGTGTCTAAGCACCGTTTATAATGGTCCTCACTTGCATGGGTCTACCGCACCTGGATACTGCTACGAGGTTTCCGAAGCGACACCAAATTGTTCCTCATCTGAATGGACTGAACTACCGCAAAGAAAAAAGCTGTCTCGATGAATAGTGCATGCACTGGAGGAGCACCTTTCGGTGTCTTCAAAAGACTTGTCTAATTGCATGGGCAAGACTTTCTCAAGTCGATCATCACTAAACATGAGACCTGGTACCACCACGAGAACAATACGCACATAGTGGCTGCACCGGTGCCTAGTACTTGCCAGCCTAAGCCAACTCTGAGATCAATACTCTGATGACTTTTCCCCGGTTTTCTGGATCTTGTAAGGCATGCTGTTCCGGAAAGAGCTTGACCAAACGCAGGCATTCAATGTCGATGTTTGTGTAGGACATCTTTGGATTCAGGCAGCAGCGGCCCAAAAAAGGGTCCAGAACAATCGAACACCTATTGCCAGCGTCTCCTTCTTATTATATGCCGCCTGACCTCCTCTTGAATTATTGATTATTATCTCCTATTAAATTACCTCCTATTAAATTATTAACCTCCTATTAAATTATTATTATTATTGAAGAACCGGGCAGATGCAAAAGGCACATCTATCGGTCTGCGCTTTTATCTTTTCATAGCCGACCATAGGCCCCACGCTCTGACTAGCATTCGGTTGGGGGTCGAAAACCGAACGAGACGGGCAAGAGAATCGACAATTGCCGCTCCGTCGCGCGCGGCGATGGACGCGATGTTTCCCTATTTTGCACTATCCTTTCGATTGGAGCATCAGATTTCACGTAGACAAAGACATAAACACTTATGTCTATTTTTGTTCATACATTGTCTATTCTAGACCAATACCACCTAAAATCGTCGTCATCAGCGGGCGCGACGTCGCACGCGCGCCCACTGGCGCGGCAATTACGATTCTCTTGTCACATACCCGAAAACCAAATCATTGCAAAACCCTCAAAGACGACCTCCTTCGATTCATTGACCCCATTGACTAGTATCACCTCCTTCGATTCATTGACCCCATTCATTGACCACTAGTATCACCAGTTCAGAGTGAAAGCCGTCAAGCCACTGCCCAGCATTAAACCACGTATCGGTGATTCTATTGCTGAAGATACTAAATACCAAACAGGAGAGAAAAAATGAATTTATCAAAGGGTAGGAAATCGAACAAGAGTAACGGGCAACGTTAAAATTCGATGCAAATGCAGCGCAAACCATTCCCACGACGTCATGATGGCTTTTGAATACGTAACCTGTCTATTCAATACATTAGAAGCACCAAACAATGTAGCGTATTGTAGTTTTGTCATTTGGCTCTAGCATTTGGAGAGGATGCATAGCTGGTGCAATTCAATCCACTTCAGGGGTGCGCCACGCATTCGACATGTCTCCGAGCATGTTCATTTAAAAGGGAAAACTTGATTACAGTTGAAGACAAACCGCGTATTGTGGATAGTGGCGTTTAGTTATAAAATTATAGTCACTAAGTGACACACAGCCGGCAAATCTGGGAGAACACCTTGAAGTGGCAAGATGGTTTCCTACTTAGCCTAAAATGCTAGTAGGGCGCTGTATAGTGGCGAAAGAACGGAGTGAAACGGTCAAAATCCTGCGAAGAAAAAGCCTCCGTTCTCAGTGACTTGTAAATCGATTTCGGACGAGTTTCCCGTAGGCATCTTGCCAATCACCGCTACCGAAGATACGGCTGCATATGTGTACCCATGTATGCATGCAGCATCACGGCCGCAATCCCTTCGCTTCATAATTTGCTTAGCAAATGAATGAATACGAGCGTCAGGAACGGTCGTCCATTTGTGGGCGGGCGGGCGGGACGTA